CCCTTGTACAGGGATAGCAAAAAAAAAGGGCCAAGGGCTTTTAATGTACAGGGTGGGCCAAAAAAAAGTTCCACCTTTTTCATTCTGCTGTAACATGTTCGCTAATGAAGTCAATTGCCAATAATTTGGACCATTGTTTAGAATGGCTAAGCTACAGTCAAATGCGCTTTTTATTTTGAAAGTCAGTTAAGAGGGATTTGTACAATGACGATTTTACGGCCAGAGGTGGAAAACCACTGCCGCACGACAAACCTACCGATACCAATATAAACAGGCTGAAGGGCTCTGTTCAGAAGAGGGTTCGGAGGAATGAGGCTCTTGCAGCCTATACCTGCGTAGGCAGTGAAGTTTCTGGGTATTGACAGAAATGAGGACTCAAAAGGACAAGAACCACTGAGAGATTGAAGAGTAAAATTCTAGTTCATACGTTTGTAGAGATGCTTGTAGCAGTACTGGCACCACTGCTTTCCCTCTACCTATTGCCATATTCTTGATTCACTAAATTCACTTTCGATCGTCACATCAGACTGCCATTACAAAATTCCATTACAGAAAAGCAAGAGAGCTTTTCCCACCATAACAGGAAAGATCTTGTGCCATGCTGAGAATTTTTATTATATTTATTCAACAGTCCTATGTTCAAATATTGATAACACGAGAGAGTTTCTGGACGCGGTTGAGGAGGATGTCACCTTGCTTGATGGTCGCTTGGTATTGCCAGTTCTTGGAATCGGGTCTATTCGTCTCGACGATACCATTCACTCGGTCTATCTTGCAGTGAAGTCTGCCTGCTGCAATGAACCGAGATAGCTCCCTGCACAGAAAAAAAAGGGCCATGGATGATATGGAAAAATGTTCAGCAATAGTGAAGGCAAAAGGTATTAACATGGTCTTGGAATATGCCCCCCCCCTCTGTGTTTTACTCCCAGGACTATGTTCCATAATACATCACACCCATGTCATGAAAGTTTCCCGAGGCTCTGAATCATAAAACCAAGGGAGGGTACTTGAGAGGATTTCAATGGCCATGCCAAAAGGTTTTAGATGACTTTAGGATTTTACCTAAAAAAATTTCAGATAACATCAAACCCTTCTCTTTTCTCTCTCTCTCTCTATTCTCTTTGAAGCAGACTCAGGTTATGCCTTCCAATACTGGCCAAGAAAGTCAGAGTATATGAGTAACCTGTCAATGAAGTCCTCAGTGACACCAAAGGAATCAGCCATGTACTGAAGTGTGAGGCTGCGATAAGACTCCAAGAGCTGGGTGTAGGCCAAGATTCGCATCTCTCGGACATAGTAACGATAGTGTGACGTCCAGTATCGGTCCCTCTTCATCATCTGCTCTGTGTGGGCTGAGGAACAAAAAAAGCAACAAACTCACAATTTCGTCATAAAAAAGACTTTGGCAAAAAATGAGGAGCAACTCTGGGTCTCACCAAGCTGTTTGAAGAAGTCTGCATATTGACAGTTATAGAGAGAGAAGAGGTATTTCTTCACTGGTTCATGACTGTGAAGGACCTCTAGGATCTCGGCTCCTTTTACAACCTGCAGTAACATCAACATCCATAATCATTAACATCACTTCATTCATGAATAGATGTCACCAAGTCACACCATAAAGTACTTTACAACATAAGTAATAAATTGTCAATAAAACTATGCCTTGTCTCGAAGCTCATTCCTGGGCAGAGCAATCATGGAGACATAGACAGTGTAGGTGACAAATGAGGGGTAATCCATGAGTTCATAAGATGTAAATGTGGATATGGTATCAAGGAAGAGAGAGGCTGCCAGTGGGAAGTCTCGGACCGCCAGGCTGTACAGACCCTCGTAGACCTTGAGGCGATTCCTGCGGTCCCAATCCCCTCCCTCCTCGATCAAACTGAAACCATATTATAAAAAACTTCATGGCACCTGTCATATGGCACTTAATACAAAGAGAAAGGATGAGCTGGAACCTTTTGGCTTTCTCAATGTTTCTTGTCACCAGGTCATGATCCAGATAGAAGAGTCCAATCCGAATTTGGTGGAATGTCAGGTCCAGCCTGTGCCCCAAGCTCACAGTCTTTTCATATGTCTTCCGGAATGCAGTCAGGGCTGCTTCCTACAAACAACAATAATGATCTCAATGCATTGCATCCCCATGAAAGAAACCACTATACAACAGTGCAGATTAGGCATAAAGGCACATGCAGTCCAACTGCAAGGAGTTGCATTGCAACCACTGTAACCTTGCTCTTGCACTTTGTTGCAATTGGTCATAATGTATGGGAATGCATGGGACCCTCACATTCGGCAGCAGTAAGCTTCATGAAAGAATCTGGCCCATTTTGGTATTCTGTGTTGCACATGCAGACTACATGCAATGGAAAAACTTAAGAAAGATGAGAAGTGAAGACTGAAACACAGAAAAGGATCAAATTATTTGGCCCTCATAGATATAGGTAGATTTTGGGGTAACTGTGATCAGGGATAATTTCAGGGATATTTCATCATGAATAATTTAAGTAATTACTTTTCCAATTTCCAAAATTACATAAAAATTGTAAAAAAAATTAATATAAATAATTTGAAACTGGTATAAAGTCACTAAGGTAAATGTTCCCTACATTAAATATAAAAATTGAAATTGTCACAAATGTGGCTTATAGGCATTACAACTATTCACCATTATTGAGGACTTTCCCTCCTCCAGCACTTCTAAAGGAGTAGAAGGGCAGTAAGGGCTCTCAGATTGAAAGCCATGAATTTTCCTGTGAGCTTTGCAACCAGTGTACAAGATACTTTGCATATAGTTGAAGTCAAGAAATAATTTTGCTGCAGCTCTTCTGAGTCAGCATGCAATGCCTCTTAGGGTAGCTCTGGCCAATAACAAGCATCCTATGCCTCAGGCATCACTGACTGAGTCCTTTAAGTAGCTAGTCCATACACTATATGAGTTCAAATTGTCACATCCCATCAACATGGACCAGGACAGATCATGGTCCCAATGCACCCAAAACTTTGCATGGCAGAAAAGTAAGTGGGATTGACTCTGAACTGTGAGCTTGGAAAAATGCATTAAGGCTTCAAGGCCAATATAAACCATTTTTGGAGGGAACCATAGGAGTACTAGGAAGCAAATGGAAGGTCAGGCACAGTTGAAAGACTCTGCAGACTAATCAACGAGCAGCCTGTCCGGATTTCCCAATCTCATGGGACCTCATTACTGCAGGATGTATTAAGTCTGACATGAAAAAGAGATTTCAGCCAAGCAATGCAGCCTAATTCCTAATCTAAAATCCAGTAATAAATTCCTAAAACTATGGGAGAAACCCCAGAACAAAGCCATGCATGTACACACAAGACCAAAATGGTACTGCACCTGTCACCTTTTTTTTAAAGGTAAGTTGCATTTTGGTTGTTGGCTGAAGGGGATACTGAATTTCGGATAAGGGGCACACTTTTGGCATTCCCTTGTCAGAATCTACATCTAAACCCATAAATTTTCCCATCTACTCCTTACCTTATCTCCAATCCGGGAGAGATGCTCTGCTTTCTTGAGATTGGCCTCTCTAACTTCCATTTCCCCAAGGTTCTTTTCTGCATCTTCAATTGCTTCATCCAGCTGCTTCAGCTTATCCTTATTGGCCTGTTTCATCTTAGCCAGAAGTTCCTCTTCCACTTCCCAGCCTAGGTCACGGCACACCTCTTCATAGAAAGGTGCCATTTCTGGTTGGAAGAAAAAAAGTCGAATCACACTAATTTCTCACATGTACCATGTGCTTCGAAAATATCACTGACCATCTTTCTTAATGGCATCCATGAGCTTTGTCTTGACACTTTCATCCAACTTGTGCTCTGGCATGGAAAGGAGAAACTTCCATTGTGCCAGATCTAAGTTGGGATTCTTCTCCAGTGATTCCTCTCCCAGGATTTCCAGAGGCATGTTGAGAATCTAATGAATACCTAATGAATCTAGTATATATGAATAGTGAATATCTAATGAAAAAGCAGGACAGTGTGCAAAAAACCTCCACATCATGCTTTTAAGGCACTGACAGAGTTGATATGCAAAAAAAGAACATAGTATAGGCTTTTGGGCCACCCCAGGCTCTCAAAGAACCTTGCCAAAAAATCACAGTGGGGGTATGACTGCCAGCAGTGGCACCAATGTGTAAAGAAGATCCAATTCAACTCACTACTCCAGTTTCATTCATGTAATTCATGCATTCAAGAAATGCCAAATAGGAAAACTTTTCCTTAGCAATGAATGAACATAAGGCAAACTCAAATGTTTACAAATTTACAGGAGTTATTTGAAAAAATCCAGGGAGCACAATGTCAAAGGCTGAATGTGACAACATTCAAAATCAATTTCCTCTTTGAGGGCAAGGTGTCCTACAAGAATAAGACATCTTGAAGCGAATGCACCTCCAACATGAGAAATATGGAATTGAATGCAATTTCCTTGTCCAATTTTTGGCTACTTTCATGCTGAGCAAACTCAAATTTGACTTGTAGAACTTGAATGTCTCTCCTAGTCATGGCAGGAAACAATCACCAGTTCAGACATGACACCCATGGCAAAGGGAATTCCTGAATTGTTTAGAAGAGAGTCTACAATCTGTTATATCACCAGGTCGGCAAGGAAGCAGGATTCATGGGTAAAAGGCAGGTAACAAACAAGATATTCACACACAATCACAACACAGAAGAGAAACACAAGACCCTCCTGAATCACAGACAAAATGTACAGTTTTCTGGAGAGAACCAGTGACAGAAGAGGGTTGCATTGAGATGATTTTATCACAGGCAAAGCGAAATAAGTCGCGTAGAACTTTTTCACCTGTCAGTAGTCCAGAGCCCATTCATTCTCTGCAAGGAAAGAATCAACCACTTCCTTCATGGAAAGATTGGGTATCAGCTGATCCTGGGTGAGAGGAGCACGGGTAACAGGATCGAAATGCCCAACTCGCTGTAAAAAAAAGATCAATGTACATAAGTGGTTTTGCATCACTTCAATATCAAGGATGAGATAAAATTATGACACCAACCAGTAAATGCTCTTCGATGTCCTTACGATCGTAAGTAACGCCACTAGGTGTGACTACTGGATCTCGGAGCAGTTCAAAACTGATCTTCCCACAGAGATAATCAGGGACTTCCCTCTTCTGTTCCAAGAAACAAATACAAAATGCAAATATTTTCATTTACCATACATCAGGGGCCTAGATGTGACATGACTTCTAGACCTATTTCTATTCCTAAATGTTCAAAGACATACTGACCCGTCGTCGTTCATCTAATTTGTTGAACATGGAATTCAGCTCTGCAATATGCTTATCCTGAAAAGAAAGACAAGATCAGTTCACTGGGTTCAAGGGTATGGTAGTTCGCATGAAGATGGAGCAAGGGCAAGAGGAGCTGACAACTTACACACTGCTGTTCAATCTCAGCCATTTCATCCTGAACATCATCATAATTTCTTGTTTTTGTCAGCTCCTCAACCTGACGGTCCTTTTCATCCAAGAGAAGGCGGTTGAGATGTGCTTGCAACTCTATTTCACAGGCTATGCGTTTCTCTTCCTGAATGGCCCATCGTCGTCGCCTGGCCACTCGCAACTGAGATGCTATGTCATCTCCATAATTCAGTTTTTGCTCACGTGCTAAATCATGAGCTGTTGGAGAAGAGGCAGTCAAAACATTTGATATTTCCTGGTGCCATTGATGTATCAGGAAGCCAGATGAGAAGACCTTTGAAGGGTTTACCTCGATGTAAGTGCTGGATAGCATCATCAAAAGCTTCCAGCTCAATGAGAGCTTGTCCCAAGAAGAAATGCCCCTTGACACTGGAACAATCTAGGTCCAGTGCATGACGGCAGTCTTGGCAAACTTGATCCCATTGTCTCAGCTTCAAATAACACAGTGCTCGATTTGTGAAGTAAGCAGCCACACTTGGATTTTTCCTCTGGAATTAAAGAACCATAGAATCTTTATTGAAAAATCTGTCAAACCAACTGCATGATGTGAGGCTTCAAGTTCAGGGAAAGGGCTATTCCTAAGCCTATGGGCTAAGTTATGATGACCTAAGTGCACTTGTCATTACTCAAACATCTTACTGTTAAATGTTAGCCAATCAATATGATAGAGATATACATTGATATAAAATTATTGTATTCATACATGTCATAAAAAGTCAGAAGTTCACTCACAATAGCCTTACTGTAGGCACCGAGGATGCATTACGTATTGATTCCTATCTTTAATTTCGTTAATTCAGGATAATTTGCAATTTTTAAAAATAGTTTTACTAATATTTTGTTGCGATTCGGCAGACAATCGGCGCCCTTCGTTACGGCTCCGTTAGGATTCACGATCGATCGACGATCTGGCCGCACAGTCTTAATTTTTCTTATTGTCGTTGAGAATCACTTTTTTTTTTCTTCGTTTTTGCGCGTTTTTCTTTGCACATTGGGTTGCAATTCCGCCACACCGGCGATTTCGAGACTCAAATTCCGTCACGACAGTCTCTCATATCTTATTTTCCTCCGAGCAAATGAAGTTTCTTCTCTGTT